AAACTTTTCTCCTTACATTTGATAAACATAGCACAGCTCTGGTGAGAGGGATTAAAAGGGACAAAAGAATTAAACAATAAAGCACACTAAAGGCTGATTTAAAGGAATAGTAGACTCGTGAACGCGCTTTTAGGAAATCCTATACACTACTGTTTATGCTCTTAAAAACATTCTAAATGACTTTGTTTCGAGTAAATTCTGGATGCTACCCACTCAGGACACTTGGAATACATTGGACGAGCAGTATGGAGGAATATTGACACGTTTTTTGTGGACTTTTATGGACCTTTCTGCCTCGGGCACCATAGACCTCCATTATTTGAATGTCAGCAGACAGCAAGAAGCCTCCCAGATCTCCAGATGCATTTGAGATATCAAAAAAGTACTCCAGAGTGTTGTTCAGCATGGGGGTGAGTAGAAAATGAAGGCTAATCATGTTTTGGGTGTACTATTCCTTTAAGGCTGATTTATACTCAGAAAACAGGCCAAACAGTTGCCAGTGAGGGGTTAGACCAGCTTTATTTGCCAATGGGAAGGGAACCAAATGCTGATTGTTAGCAGGTCGACTCATGTTTGAAAAATTCATGTTAATCTACTAATTTAAGGGGAATTGGCTATAAAGATTTATTGATGATCTGACAATTATTTGACACTTAGACCCAGGCAGAAAACACTGAAGCTGTGAATGAGGATGAGCTTGGATCATCATTGTGAGATTAGGATTCAATATGTCTTTCCTCGGGATTGGTGGAGTTGAGGCCAGAGAAGAAGGAACCCAGAAAGAGCCTGAGAGCATGATGGAGGAGATGGGGTGGAGTCGAAGCATAGCCTAAGAACAGAAGAAACCGTGAATGGAGAGCTTTATGCAAACCTTGCAGGATGATTGACTGAAGAGGAATGATAGTGATTGACTAGAGGAGAGATGTATGATGAGGTGATTGAATGCAGGTAATGCTGGGATTAATCCTATAATTGGAATCTGCTTCTAAACTTCATTACACCAAATGAAAATTGCTAACAGACTAAATGTTGTATCATTTTTTCATTAACAGTTTTTTTTCCTTACCTAAAATGATTCGGAGATCATAACTTTTGGATTAATATTCAAATAAAAAATAGAAATAATATTGTTTTACCTAAAGTGAATTGTGCAAAAACATGCATCTGTAGTAGGTGGTTCTAAAACAATGATTTGGGGGCAGAAGAGCCTGCTTCTGCCAGACGTTTCTTCCCAAAGGGGATTTTTTTCTCTCCACTGTCGCTTCATGCTTGCTCATCATGGACAGGTTCATGCAACCTGTGTTATCGAAGCTGGACTTCCATCTTCCAGGTCCCAGAGTGAAGCACTAGTATCCGTTCACCGGATTTCTTCACACAGCTCAAGCACACTGGAAAAACGATCTACAAATAAGTAAAAATGTCTTTGATTAAGAGTATTTACCCTTAATTTGAGTAGGTAAATAAGATGATCTGCCAATGGAATTAGTATTTTTACTTTTGAAATACGATATCTAGATGAAATGCATTTGAAATAATAATAATTCTCAATTGAAGAACAAATGCACTTATTTTAAGAAAAAATTACTCATCTAGATTATGTTTTTTTCCAGTGCATGGACTGACCAACTTCATGTCCTATAGTTGGAATCTGCGACTAAACTTCATTACACCAAAATAAAATTGCTATCATTTTTTCATTAACTGTTTTTTTTCCTTACCTATAATGATTAGGAGATCATAGCTTTTGGATTATTCAAATAAAAAATAGAAATAATATTGTTCTACCTAAAGTGAATTGTATAAAAAGCCCATCGGATTTCTTCATACAGCTCAAGGACTCCATCTCGGCAGTCACACTGGAAAAACGATCTACAAATAAGTAAAAATGTCTTATATTAAGTGTATTTGCCCTTAATTTGAGTTGGTAAATAAGATGATCTGCCAATGGAATTAGTAATTTTACTCTTGGAATAAAATATTTAGATAAAATGCACTTGAAATAAGATGTAAATAGTCTTGTTCCATTGACAAAATGTCTCTTTTACTTTCTCAATTTAAGAACAAGCGCACTAATTTTAAGAAAAAATGACTTATCTAGGTTATGTTTTTTTCCAGTGGATGGACTGACCAACTTCATCATCTCCACTCCACCACCGGTTTCAGGCCTGGGGGGGAAACATCCCTATTATTTACTCCTGTTTATGCACATCAAAGCAAATTCTGCGCTAATGTTTCCTGCCGAGGTCTGAGCGCCAAAGACTTAAGCAATTGTATCAATAAAACTCTTCTTTTTGTGTGTTTTTTTCATATAGAAATAGTTTATTAGACGTTATGATAAATTACTCAGTACTTGTGGAGCCTTTTTTAACCACATTTTCACTCCTCTGTGAGTAAAAATAGGATAAATTGGTGCTACTCTTACAGTAAGAAAGATCCTAGGCTCAAATCTCAGCTTGGCTGTTCTTACTGGAGTCCAATGTCTGAGTTCTCTACCCACCTCTGCATAAAATTCAGAAATGTGGGAAAGGCTTTATTAACTCTTTGGGACGACCCTGTATATGAGTGGAAAACCGAGCAGCCCTGAAATGCAAATAAAAAGCAGCTTTTTAAACAGCCCCGTTCCCATATTTCAGACAGGTCATCATTAAGAACAGACCTGGATCGTTTTCTGTCTCTAACTGTAGCTACGCAGATCTCAGATCCATGGGATCATTTCTGTTTACCTCCAAACATCCCTAAAATGAACAGTTCACAGGGTCACTGACGTCTCCGCTCTGTATGAGCAGACTTGTTTCATGTTTACTGGAACTAAAGCATGACCTCAGCCATGTTTCATCTCCAGTTACTGTTTGTCATCTAATCCTGTTTCTTAAAAACAAGCCTGACTGACATGTTGTAGGACTCCTATACCAAGATCCAACAACCGCTCATTTATTTGATTTCTCTTTGACTTAATGGGCTTATTTTATTAATCTAATTATGTATTGAAAGTTTACAGAGACGAAAAGTCTGTAATTTTGTTTTATATTAGTGACATCCAGAGTTTGAGGAGTAATCCAGTCAGGATGTCAGACTACATCAGGTTTTCCACAGAGCTTTAATTCAAGTGCTTATATAAGACTAAATGTATGGGTCAAATAAAAAAGAACATCCTTCAAATTTCATTCTATACGATCCTCTAGAATATAAAACTCCAGTGTGTCCTACTTTTCATGGAACCCATATGTTTATACATTTTAGTTTCCAAGTTGCAGATGTTTCAGTGGTTTTAAAGAGATTTTAGCTTATAGTGGGTATGATAACAAAGGTAGCCCAGTGGTTAAATCCCTATAGAGGCCTAGTATTTAGCTTGCTAATCAACTTCCTCGAGCCAGAGTCAGAAGATTATATAACTAAAACCACAGATGAGGTAAACTCAGTCAAGAAATGAGGCAATCGCTTAAACAGTTTCCTAGAACCTAAATAAAAAAGCTTCAGATTAAATTAAATCTGTATTTTATTATATATTCCTACTTTGGCTCCAGGCATTTTGTTGATGCTAGGTACAAAATCATACTACTGACTTACAGAGATGGTTGAAATGTCTGCAGTGTTGAAGTTATTGCTTCTACAGTGACGCTTACAGTAAGAAAGATCCTAGGCTCAAATCTCAGTTGAGCTGTTTGTATGTGGAGTTTTAGGCTCAGCCTGGTTATGGATGAGGCCTGCAGTTTCCTCCTACAGTGAGAAAACAGGTTATATGGTGAACTGGCCTCAAAAAGTTGCTCATTTTGTTTTCTCCTGCCTCTAAACAGGTAATCTTGATGCTCCCTGTATGAGCTGGTATGGAAAAAAATGAAAGGATATTTTCACTTGAAGTACTGGGACCCCAGAAACAACCCTGATCTTAAGTAACCTGCAGGTCGTTTATAATATTTCGCATAAATTGTCAATTTAGAAAAAAAGATAGAGGTATTTCAACACCCAAATTGTGGCAAAGTATTAAATATATGTTATAATGATAATGAATTAACTATTTAAACATCATCATATAAATATATATGCATCTTTTGCTTAATTTGAAATAAAATAATGTTATCAATGACAGAAAGGGAGCTGCTGAAACTATCTTAGTCAGTTAAATTAACATGCTGTTGTCATTTTGCACATCTCTGATGTTGCTGCTATTTTCAAATATCCATTTACTTTAGTTTTTCCTCTCCACTGTCGCTAGAAGCATGCTTACTGTGAGGGATTGCCTTTGATGCAATCAGCTGGTTTTCCTTTAAATCAATTTGACTGTAAGATCTGGTGAACTGTAAAGTGCCTTGAGATGACATGTGTTGTGAATTTGGCGCTATATAAATAAACTGAATTGAATTAAATCCAAGAAGCTTTTTCAATTCAAATGTCAGAAATAGTGCTGAGCTGCTTTATATATTTCTTACATTTGAATTGAAAAAGCTTCCTGGATGGGAAGCGAAAAGTCCTCAAACTTGGAAACAGAGTCCAGTGGATTATTTAAAAAAAAAAATTTAATGACAATGAACTGTAAGACTGAGTATCTTCACCAGCATTTTCATGTTGAAATGTGAAGATAGGACTAATTTCTGACAGCTTTTATCTTTGGATCATGTTTTGTATAAATCCCATAAATATCAGATTATGGACAGATGTATGATTTATATTATTATTATTTTTTATATTATTATATATTCGAAATTAACACCTAAAGAAACGGTAGTAAAAAAATTTAATAAAATACATATAAGAAAAAGTTTTGAAGTACCAAATGACAGACACTAGAGGGCGCACTTCTCGTTTGATTCCTCAGGTTGCTCTCATTCCCACCCAAAAAGGCCCCTTTTCTTTATAATGTCTCTCGTTTATAATACAGTTTGTCGTCCGTCCTCAGTGTCTGAGTCTTTAGTCATACTTTAGTGAATCGGTGGGGGCGGAAAGCCTCTGTTTTTCTGGAGGAGGGGGTCTGTTTGTCGCCTCTTTGTTCAGTGACGCTCCGGCGGCCAACAGGAGGCGGAGCTGAGACGCTCCGCAGGGATATAAACGCAAAGCAGCAGCCGCGCTGCAGCAGGAATGAACAACAATATCAGGAGACACTTCGAGCACAGAGCAAGATACTCTTTTGATCTCTCGATATTTTTCTTCACTTAACATAAGGTATGTTAGTTTGTTTTTTGTTCTTATTTACAAATGTCGGATCAGCTGGTTGTTTATGGCGGTTAATGCAAACTTTGGCTCCTCCTCACCTTCAGCTGTTCAGACCTGAACAAAGGCTGGCTTTGGAAAGTTACTGGTGTTGCCATCTCTAAACAGACTTACACCAGTTGGCCTTCACTGCATGTTATTCGATGTAAAACTAATATTTTTTAATAATATTCTCTTATTGTAAGTCATTCATACTGTTTCCCTTAAAGTTATAATAATATGTTTTATTAATCTCTTTCCATGAGATGATTTAATCATGAAAAATAGAACATCCTGTGTATGAATCTCCTCCTAATGTTGCAGAAAGATGACTGAACTCTTGTAAAAATGACTTTTTATGTAAACAAAATGTTCCAGCTTTGTGGAAATGTGCAGAGATCAGCAGAGAAGCCCATCCTGTGTCTTCTTCTCTCTAGGTTTCAGGGTCAGGAAGATGGCCACCTCAGCAAGTTCAAAGCTGAGCAAAGCTGTTAAGCAGCTCTACATGGATCTCCCTCAGGGAGAAAAGGTCCAAGCCATGTACATATGGATCGATGGAACAGGAGAGGGACTGAGATGCAAGACCAGAACCTTGGATTTCGAACCGAAATCCATCGACGGTGAGATGAGCAAGAAGTAAAAAATGATTGATCATTTTCCACTCTTGCATGTTTTTTAATTTCTCTTTTTCCATTAGATCTTCCTGAGTGGAATTTTGACGGCTCCAGCACGTACCAATCAGAGGGCTCCAACAGCGACATGTACCTCATTCCGGCGGCCATGTTCAGGGATCCCTTCAGAAAGGACCCCAACAAGTTGGTCCTCTGTGAGGTGCTGAAATACAACCGTAAGCCAGCAGGTAAGCCAATTTGGGGAAAAATTATATAAAAAAATAAAGCTATAGAGACTTTCATGTTTCTTTTGCTAAATTGTATCGCTGTCCAAACAGAAACCAACTTGCGGCGGAGCTGTAAACAGATCATGAGGATGGTGGAGAACAACCACCCATGGTTCGGCATGGAGCAGGAATACACCATCCTGGGGACAGACGGACATCCCTTCGGCTGGCCCTCCAATGGCTTCCCAGGACCACAAGGTGATCGTACTTAATGTTGCTATGAAAGTATTTAAGAGCTACCTGTAGAGCCATTTTTTTTAACTCTTCCTTGATCTTTCAGGACCTTATTATTGTGGCGTTGGAGCCGATAAAGCGTACGGACGGGACATAGTGGAGGCCCACTACAGAGCCTGTCTGTACGCGGGGGTCCAGATCTGTGGAACGAATGCTGAAGTCATGCCTGCTCAGGTAATTTTCCATCAATTCACTACTAAACACAAAGTAAACAAACATGTCATCTGACGTCTACGTCCATACTGCTGTTTCAGTGGGAGTTCCAGGTCGGCCCCTGTGAAGGCATCAACATGGGGGACCACCTCTGGATCGCTCGCTTCATCCTGCACAGAGTCTGTGAGGATTTCGGCGTGGTGGTTTCATTTGACCCCAAACCCATCTCAGGGAACTGGAACGGCGCTGGGTGCCACACCAACTTCAGCACAAAGGAGATGCGTGAGGAGGGGGGACTCAAGTAAGGACCAGTCTGAGCTTTTTACCTGAATACGTCTCCATATGCTCGTTCTTAGAGGTTCCTAATCCCCAAACTTTTCTCTTCCTCCAGAGTCATCGAGGAGTCGATTGACAGACTGGCAAAGAGACACATGTACCACATACGGGCTTACGACCCCAAAGGCGGGCTCGACAACGCCAGGCGCCTGACTGGTCATCACGAAACCTCAAATATCGATGAATTCTCCGCCGGCGTGGCCAACCGCGGAGCCAGCATTCGCATCCCCCGTTTGGTGGGACAGGAGAAGAAGGGCTACTTCGAAGACCGCCGTCCGTCCGCCAACTGTGACCCCTACATGGTCACAGAGGCGCTGGTGCGCACCTGCGTGCTGAAAGAAGAAGGCGACGAGCCAACAGACTACAATAAATGAGTGATCCACCAGGAAGTGTCACTATTTATACTGTATTTAGTCATGCGTCTATTTTAAGACTCAGTAGAAAGACTTTATTCGTCTTTAATTTTGTACTTGACAGATGAAATAGTTGAGGTGTCCCTTCATGAAGTTGTACGCATCAACTGGCACAATCACTGCCTTCTATCACTAGTGGGTTTATGTTACAGTATTAAGTGATCCTTTCTTTAGTTGTCCAACATCACGATCTCTTTAACTTCTACTAATGTAAACTATTAAAGTGCCTCAGCTGTTTGCTGTTGCCCTTAATAACTCTCAGCCAAAGGATCCTAAAGGCATTTGAATGTTTCAGCGACCTTTGACCTCCATTTACGGTTGGGTCGCCGTCAAAAACCAATGCTTTGTAAATGATGCTTGTTCGTTTTGTCTCTTTTTCATCAGTTATTAACACTGCAATAAATAGCTACTGTTTTTACCTTTTCTTATTGTCTGTACGCTTTCCTCCAGGATTCCGCTCTGACACAAACCAGCTCGTCACGAGCAGAACCTCAGCTGAACCTCCGAAATGTGACCTTCATTATAAAAAAAAAAGTGTGCCGTAATGTTTAGCAGACTGTGCCTCATTTAGATAAACTAAAACACGCACATGTCGTCTTAGCTAATACGTGATTCCTAATGGATCTTTTTTCCTTATTGGATAACTGGCGATTAAATCTTCACATGATTTAAGGCTGCAGTAAAAGAGCTAAAGCTGACTTTGGAAGCGGTCGGTTTAAAAATAGAGCGTCGTTCGTGTCTCTTCTGATATGGTGTCTTGAAACAAGCCTGATAATTAAATGATTCTGACAGAAAAAGGAATGAGGGAGACTATCAGGCGACATCAAGGCTGTTGATCATTAAGAGGGAAAAAATGGCAAATGTCTGAAACTAGAAAACTAACCGTTTAATACCATGTAGTGTGTGTCACATGATGCCACAGGCATTATTTCGTAAGATATTTAAAAAAAAAAAAGGTCTTGGTGCCTCTAAATCGCTTTAAGCTGTGGTGACAGGAAAAATTAGATCAATTTTGGTTGCTGTGCAAAAAGTCCTGCAGAGATCTGGGTCAGATTATTCAGTTAAACACACCAAACCGGTTCAGATTGTCGAGATCAGTGAAAACAATCACGAGATGATTTTACTGCAGCTTTTGTTTTTAGACAAGGCAGTTTTTCTTCTTTTCTCTGAAGTAATCATTTTTCTGGACTGATAGCATATCTTTTGTTTAGTTTTTTCTTATCGTTTGGGAATTTATCCTAAATTTATCAGGCTTTTAGTTTAGTTCAAGGCCTGTTAGCTGATCAGTGACGTCAATGAGATGTTCCAGCTGAAACGTTACACCCAGGGGTGGCTAATAACTAGTTACATTTACTTTACAGTGTTTTTTACTTGGGCAAATATTTGGTTCAGAGTATTGCTATTCTAAAGTACATTTTCTGGTTACTTTCATAGAAGATCAGGTGAAAATACAGGAAATGATAGAAAATGTTGCTGAAAATCCTTTCTCCTTACGTAAAATGTGTATTACCTACTACGAAGATTTGATTAACGGGTTTATGTTGTAAAAATTGACCTGAAAGTGTTATTTATATATTTGCATTGTTTTATTTTTCTGTTACACTTTATTTATATAAAAATAATTTAGACTATTTTAAGCATTAGATTACATTTTTTGAACTTATGAGTGATTTATTCGATAACTAATTTCTACATGAGTGAAAACAAAGTTAAAGTAATGGGAAGACGTCCCACTTCTGATGACATCTTCCTCCACGGGTGGATTTGTTCCTCAGAGGTTTTGTTGAATTTTGTGGGCAGACAAAAGGAAATATTTCACATGCCTGATCCTTACATGGACAAGTGCATCATATTTTTCCTCAACGACTGATGTCTTGAAATATTGTGTCATTTATTTAGATCCGACCTAAAGGAATGTTTGGGTCGACATTTTCGTAAACACAATTTTGTTCTTGGTTGAGATGGGAAAATAGTGTTGTATTTTACTTGCATTTGAAAACATGTTGGGTGTTCCCCATCTTTTTTCCCATAGCCTGCCCTAGATAGGCACCGGCCCTATCATGACCCTAATGGATAAGCCGGAGAGGATGGATGGATGGATGGATGGATGGATGGATGGATGGATGGATGGATGGATGGATGGATGGATGGATGGATGGATGGATGGATGGCCACAGAGCAGCCATTGTAAATTCAAAACTCAGGGTTAATGAGAGGAAGTTAACATTAAGCTAGAACTAACATTCCAGTTGTAAGCTGAGGAATCCATTGGTTTAATTTAATAATTAGCACTCAGGCTTACTCTATATAGGAGTTCAGGATATGATGTGTTAACAGAAGTGTACAGTACTGAGTTGGGGATTAGTTAAATAAGGTTTAAAATTGGTGTCCATGATATTAGAAAAACATAATATTTGATAATATTGGTTAATGAGGCTAATAGGACAAAGGCTCCTGTTTTATGCTTTGTGTTAAAAGCAAACCTTGTCATGGTTTTGGTTTTGTTCAAGTTTTATCTCTGAGTTTTCATTCGTCTTATTTCCATTCTTGTGTTCTAGGGTTTTTTTGTATTTGAGTTCTTGGATCTTTCCTGTTTGCCCTCTTGTGTCAGTCTCCTTTTCCATAGCTCCCTTCTTGTCTCCTCTGTTCACACCTGCTCCCAATCTGCTAATTACCCCGTCTTTGTTTCTCTCTCCCATTTATTCTCATTCTGCTCAGTCACTCTTTGCTGGTTTGTCGTCATTACTCTGTCCCCTTCTTGTTGTAAGTATTCTTGGTTTTCAGCATTTTTGGATTTTTACTTCTGTTACCCTTTTTATTATTAAACATTCAACTAACCACCTCAAGCTTTTGTCTGCCTTTGGGTGCTGTCAAACCACCTCCACTGTGACAAACCTAGACAACATATTTTAGGTAAATCATCCAGATGATAGAAAATTTGTTAATATTTTCATTTTAACAAGTATTTATTAAAAAAAACGTTGCCTTTGATCAGGTTGGATCAGGTGTTAAAGACTGTGTAAAAGACTTTTCACAATATTTTTTAAACGCATTATAAATGTGTTGTTCTAAGTGTTTAAAAAGCCACAGAATCATTGAGGATTTTATTATAAAGTTAAAATAAATTTTGGATTTTAAGATTTATGTTAAGGAGATTTTTTGGGGGTGTGACTAAATTCAATTCAATTCAGTTTATTTCTATAGCGCCAAATTCACAACACATGTCATCTCAAGGCACTTTACAGTTCAACCAGATCATACAGTCAAATTGATACAAAGTTTTCTATCTAAGGAA